AAAAATGTGGTTCATCAAGAGAGTCTCATCTAAATTCCCCCATGGGAATTTCCCTCCTGAGAACTACTTAGTCCCATTAATACACCCTTGAGAAAATGGTACAAGAAACTCATGTCAATCTCACTCCACAGATTTTACAAAAAGTTCTCCCGGCTGGTTATGTGTTTGTGGATGACCAACTCGGTGACCCAAACCTGGCGTTTTCTGGTCCTTGCAGTCAATGAGCTCTGTATTTCTGTCTTTGCTCCTGAGCAGAGCTGGAATTTGTGTTGAAATAGGGAGCCCAAAGGAGATACCCCACCGAACCTCAGCCTCTTCCCCTCTACCCTTTACTTGCACCCCAGACAGTTTACGTGCCCCAAGGCCCTGGAAAGACTGTCCCCGGGGTCGGTGCTGGGACAGGGAGGGGACAGTCAAGAACCAGGAAGGGTCACATCTGACCCTGGAAGGCTACAGCTGTGCAGAACTGGGAGAAAGAAGCATTTCTTACGATTTTGGAAGTGATGTCGGCGAGCATGCTGGCAGCTGGCGCTGGCTGTGTGTCTACTGTGCATCGGGCACCATGGTGCTTTGTGTGGTGGAGCACAGCTAGGCCTCACACCTGCCCTGTGAGTTGGGCACTGTCGTCAGTTGCACTTGACAAGTGAGACAACCCAAAGGCACTAAGTTCATAGGCAGCTTGCTTGGGTTGGAAAAGAAAAAAAGCGGGTTTGAACCCCAACTATTCAGGGTCCAGAACCCAAGCTCCTCACCAGTCATTGAGTAAGGAATCTTGCCTTTTACTCCAGCACCAACTGTGGAGGGCCTGGTCAGGTCAAAAAAGGATGTGGCTCTCCGAGGACATTCCGTGCCCTCCCAGGAAAGCCACTGAAGCCCAGACTTACCCAGGGGATCTCTGCAGAAACAAGCAACAGGTCGTAGTAAGATTGCAATGAGACTTGCAAGCAGACTCAGCGTGGGCTTTGCTTTTCCTAAACACCCGTTTCTTGCTTTAAAAGAAAAAATAAAAGTCAATGCATAATAAAATACTATAACTTCCACTATCAAAATTCCTAATTCTTGAAAAGATGAAAAACATATCTCTAGGAAAATATCACTATACCAACATCAGGTATTTGCTTAGCAAATATTTCCTGCACACCAACTATGTGCACACGTACAAATGCTGGTGGCATGAAGAATAAAACCCCTACACCCTGCCCACAGAGGTTTCTAACCCAGTGCACAAATTGGGTGAACAAACTGGCCATTGCAACCTATACTAGGTGGGGATATGTCATGCCAGTGCATCAGGCAGGCACAGAAGGGCCCCCAGTCCTGCTAGCGAGGGTCAGGGAAGGCTTTTCAGGGAGGAAGGGGAGGGCCCAGGGTGGGTGGAAGGTGATGGCTAGTCCTGAGGATGTTTGGGAGTTAACAAAAGTTTGGAGAAGGTTCTTCTAGGAAGAGAAAGTCGACTTAGTCAGAACAGAGGGTGTAGGTGTCCCTCAGTGGTTTGATGTGGTGGAAAAAAGATGAAAAGGGCAGAGCCCCGGGGAGAGAATGGTGGGAGGCCCCCGGTGGGGTGAGCAGGGCCCGGCATTTGAAACATTCCTGAAAGCCAGAGAGGAGTCATTGAAGGGGCTCCTCCTGCAAAAAGCAAACCTTAATCAGATTTGGTTTGCAACTAAAGCACATTGGTGGCGGCAGGAAGGCTGAAGAGCAGGGCCTGTTAGGAAATGATGAAGGTAAAGTCTCAATATTTGAAAGTAAGTCCAACATAACAGAAAACAAAACAAAACTACCATTTCTCCTGTATGCTGTCTTAAGTAAGAATGGCTACCTAGAGGTTAACCCGTCATAAATTAATGTGTTTGCATTGCACTAGTGTTTTGATGTTACCACCCCCCCACCCAAATAGGCCCTGACCCATGAAATGTTTTAGTGGGGGAGAAACTTCCTTGTGTCTCCTTTTGGTCTTCTCTCGTCCAAATGAGTGAGATCTACCTTTTTGTTCTTGGCTTCTAACTTATCTCAGAATGGAAACGAACACATGTCCGACAGATGTGACGTGTGGAAGATGGGAAAATAAAACAACTAGCTTCTTTAGCTAAGACATCAGGATATAAAACTTGCAACTCCTACCAGAAATATAAATATATAGACTATAATAATTCTAAAAAAAATGGTTTAAAGTGGCTCCTGCCCATGCCAGGGATGGCTTTTATCTTTGTCAATAATCCCCTAGGCTTCAAAACTCTCGGAGGCTTCAAGCCTCCAGCAGAGAGCACGCAGTCACCTCAAAGAGTGTGCACATTTCTAGGCTTCGGAGATATTCCTGAAATCTTCTACGGCAGCCCAGTGTTTTCCAGACCTTTCCGAGAGCAAGTTCGGCAAACTGCTCATGGAGGACAAGCCCCAGAGATTCAGGTTGTTGGCCAGGAATTTGTCCTCGTTGCAAGTTCAGAGACTCTGTGTTTTTCTGTACTTTTTGCCAGAGACTTATTTTTAATATCTTCCTACCAAAGAGGAAAAGATAGAAACCTGAAATAATAGTCAAATTCATGGGGAACCGCTCTGTCAGCAAACCAGGCCCTTCCTACCATTCCTGTCAGCAGATGGCCAGTAAATGGGTTTGTTTTCCCCGCCAACCCCTTGAACGCTGTGTGCTCACTCCCTGTCTCAGTGCTGGGTGTGTTTGCCTTTGGGGGCATGTAGGCTTGGGGAGTAGATTTAATCTTCCCGCCTCAGTAACTCTCTCAAAGCTTCTCACTTTCTTCCCACTTGAGAAAATCCCACTGTGCCCTGCTGTTAGCCCACAAATGTCTCATTTGCCTGGGAGTAACAGGAGCATTTATGTAATGTTGCTTTTAAGATTTTCATCTTTCTCCCACATGATCTTAATCCGGAAAACTGTAAATTGTTTAGACTAAGAGCTTCAACATAAGCGGCTTCCAACCTAAAAGTTGAGATGCAGCGAATAAGAATTCAGCTTTTCTCTCTCTTTTTTTTTTTTTTTGCCTTTCCATTCAGAGACTTAAAACAACTTAAAATCTTTTTATTACATAAAAGCAATGTAATCACTTCAGACGGCATAACACAATAGACATCAAAGATACACGCAAATAAGGTATGGATTGCTGTCGTTGAGCGACATGCAAGCACGGATACTGGCATTTGGAGTTTGTTTTACATGCACAGGCTACATACAACAGATTTGCTTATTTGAGTCAGATGTGGCTTTTGGCAAATGAATCTTACATTTTAGGTGGCCCCATTTAAAATTGTTTTTAAAAGCTTTGGCCTTATATGCTGTGAGAGATTCAGTTTAAATAAGGGTCAATGGTGTTGTTTTTCTTCTTGTAAAAATATTCCTAGTCCCTTACAATGCCTGCAGCCCCGCTTGTATATAGATTTCCCACCTGCTTGCAGACAAGGAAGTAAGCCCCCTGGTTCAGAACCCTAAGGGAGGAACTGCACAGTGCCTGTCCTTGTAAAGTGCAATTGTATCCAGACAGAAATGGAGCTGGGGGTGGGAATGAAATCACACGAGCCTCTGGAAGATTCTTCTGTCTCAAGACTTACGGACTCCTCATTGCAACTGGCTGGTCCCCTGGAAGCATGAGGTTTAGGAATAGCGTCCTTGAAACATCCCGACATGCCAGCTTACCCTCCTGGAACGTGTACCACCTCATTATCAAATTTCCAGGGGCAGAACCCTTGAGACTCGCATTCCAAGGCAATGAGGCCCGAACCAAACTCTGTCACAGCGGGTGGTTCCCACAATGCCTGAAGATCAAAGCCGTGGTACATGGGTGAGGGCAACAGGTGCTCTTGTTTCCCCCGGGCAGTGGGGGCAGGCCAGGGAGGAAAGGCCCACCCCGTCCAGCCACTGCCTAGCCAGGGCAGAAGTGGTGAGGGGTGCCGTTGGGATCAAAGAGTCCTTTGGGGATGGTTCTGATGAAACAAGTTGGACCATTTGTGAGAGTCATAGTAGCCCTCAAAAGCATGCTTAATTATCATTTACCAGAAATACCTTATTAGGGACCTAGGAGGCAAATAGGTGAGCTCCTAATTGTACTTGTCTAACTTGAACTTGAGGCCCGTATGTTTGCTCACATGTTATGGCTTTGAGATAACCCATCTGGGTTGACCGCTTTCCAAATGAATGTGTCTTGTGATGATTGCAAACCTTTCACATCAGAAAAAATGCGACAGAAGCTGGGAAAGGACTGATTTGAATTGTGCCCCATTCTACTGCATGTATATAAAAGAGAAAGGGTTACACAAGCAAACAATTGTGGGTTGTTTTATGTTGCAGTGAAAGGAGAGAAGACGCAAGAATGCCACGAAGGACCCCAGGGTTCAAAATATTTAGGAACTTGCTTTACTCTCCAAACAAAACCAGAGTGGTAAAGGGAGATGCAGAAATTAGAAACAGCCTTACAAGAGAATTGTCTGGCTTTGTGGTTCAACAACTGGTGTTTGGCACAAAAACCAACAACTGTGGATTAGTTCCCGTATTCTTTGAGGTGTCTGAGACCCAGAGAGAGAGGGATGTGTCCTGAGAGCATAAAAGACAATTTGTCGACCTCCCAGGGTTGAAATGTCCCCACATGCTGCCAAAGCATGTTCCAGAAATCAGTGACGTTTCAGGAAGAAACCGTTGTTTTGATAAGGTGGTGCCTGTGTCCCGTCCTCCACTTGGTGCCAAACAGAAACTGGGCAAATAAAACAAGATAAGAAGTGTTGAAGCAACCGAATTCTTGATTCCAACAGCTAGACAGCTGATCTCTTATCGAGGCTTTTCTGCAGCACTTAGTGGTTTCAGAATTGGGAAGGACGTGGGCCAAAATACAAGTCTGTGTTCTGAGCAGTATGTGCAAATCTGCCGAGCAGCACCTGCACTGGGCTGTCCGCTGGGTGCCGTAGGCCCAAGGACCAGGCGCTGCAGGAGCTCCCGGCGCGGGCAGTAAGGAGCCTGCACCGGGACTGGGGCACCGAGGAGGGGCTGGGGTGAGCGGAAGACCCCGTGTGTCCAGAGACCACCGAGGAGCAACAGCCTAAGGATTCCACATGGGCTGATCTCGAAAGAGCTGTGAGAAAAAGAAAATCCTTTCAGCGGGGAGAACAGGGCCTTTTATTTGTTGTGTCCTCTGCTTGGAAAATTCTTCCCAGAACTTGGATGTCAGCTCTTGTCTTGAAAACTTCCTGGTCTCTGCTGAAACGGCCCCTCTTCAGAGACCCCCTAGCTCTGAGCCTCTGCCCCGAACACCTTGAAATCCGCATTCTGCTTCAGTTTCCTCCTGGCACTTACCTGTCACTCTAGGAATTTTAGGTGACTTCTGCTCCTTCTCTTTGCTATTTGCTCCTTGTCCTTCCCGGCGCAATGCAGGCTGCATGAGAAGAGGGCTTCGCTCCGCCTGCTCGCCTCGGCCTCCAACACCACAGTGTCTGGCACAGCATCGGTGTTTGACAAATATTTGTGTCACTAATAGAGAAATCAGCCATACTTTATTCATCTCTTTTTAATGGGCAATTTGTTTTAATCACTGAGAAAAATAAAGCAACGTTATTTGCCAGTGTAACAGGGAAGTGCTTCGATTCTAGTACTTCAAGCAAGTACGGTCTCAGCCTTGCATGTGATTCACAAGCAGCGCACGTGCTTTGAGATTTCCCTCCAACCTGAAAACCCCAAAGGTGAGGGGGCTGTCAGCCCCACTTCCCCTTCCTCTGCCTGCTTTCCATTCCAGGTGCTACAATTTGGCGATTTCTGTTGTTACAAATTACAGTCTGAACAGCTTCATCATCAGTTTTATCTCTGAAATGTAGCATTTTGGAGGGCAAAATATTTCTTTTCCCATGGATTCAAAGAAGCTCTTTGCATTTTCAGGTGTAATTTTATTGTAAGCTCATAAGTTTAGGGAAGGAAACTAAAAGATTCGAGTTCAAGTTCTGCCTTTATTATCATTGTCCATCTAACGCTAAGTGAGTGCATGTCTCTCTGTGTTGTTTCTCTAGCCAGGAAATTAGGGTAATTAGGCAAGATGTTGAGAGAATTAAAAAATATCACCTTTTTAATTAGCGTTAGAACAGTCTGCGATTTTAAGGAAGGTATGACGTTCACACAGAATAGTATTCATCTTAACTTCCTGGAACACTTTAATGGAAAACACTGTTAGAAATTCAGCTGTTCAGAGAAACTCCAGCCAGAGAATCCTTTGCGTGATTGATGGGGCTGGGAGAATCCGTGATAATAGTATACACATCGGGCTTGGTTGGGATTTTCCATCTAAAGAAGTTAAGTATTTTATAAATATTATCTCTTTCATCCTTTTAAAGTTCCTGTGATGTGGCATTTATTACTCTCAGCTTCCAGATGGACAACTAACCACAGAGAAATGTATGCTCTTCCCAGAGGCACATGGTGAGTGACTCTCAGTGTGCTCAGTAAAATGGGGTTTGATTGATTGAATCACTCATTCATTCACTCATTCACCCAACAGGAAATGTGGAGAATCCATTATGTGTCAGGCACAGCCCTCAGGAAGTGAAAGAGGCATGGATGAAAGGAGCTTGTAGACCCACAGAGGCCAGCGAAGTGTAATAATGGGAAAAAGAGAAGCGCTCGGATAAAGGAGTGTAAACTGTGGTACACAATAAAGTCTCAGGATGATGACGATGGTATGTTTATGCTTATAGAGATGCAAATAGACTTTTACTGACACAGAAAGATATATAGAAAAGACTGTGAAGTAAAACCAGGTTTAAAAAGACAAGAAGGGTGTACTTGGTGTGTGTCTTTTCAGTAAACATACGTGTGCATGTGTGCATCAAAAATAAATAAAGCCGGCGTTAAGCTGTTAAGGCAGGTATGTCAGTGTGTAGAATTATAGGTCATTTTCCACTTCCTTTTTTATACTTTCCTGAATATTCTGAATATTTTTGCAGCAACCATGTATTGAGTTTTTAATGGAAATAGGTTACTTTGTAGATTATAAAATAACAAGTTTATTGACAGATAGATCAAATAGTGTAAAACAGAAGTGCTTAAAATAGGAAGTAAGTGTTTCTTCTTAATCTCAGTTCTCAGATATAGCCACCACAACCAAAGTGTTTTATAGAAATACACAGTTTTTATTCACATATGTAATATATTTTTTAATGGGATTATCACTGGGATTCCAGGTTAATGCATGTTGTATTATTTCATTTTTAAACAAATAGACTTAAGTGTATTTAACTGAATTCCTGCTATTGGAAATTTCAATTGGCTTAAAGAGGTAAGGAGTGAAAAAGACAATCCTTGCAGTAATGAAAGATACAAGAGTATTTTTTCTTTAGAATCTCAGAGTGTGGATGGCTTCCCGTGCAAAGCACAAAATCTTGAAGCCATTAAAAAATAAAAGATGAAATGCCTGGTCTGAGATTAATATATGTAGAAGATTAAGGATGACCACAATTCATTGCACTTCTCCCCTTAGAAGGTAATTCTGTGATCCCTGCCCTGAATTCAGGTGAATTCTTGAAAAATGGAATACTCTGAAAGTGATGCTAAGCCAGTTTCTGAGTCGGAACCTTAAAAAAATGGCAGCTTTCTCTTCCTGTATCTTAAGACAGGTGCTAAGCTAGTATGCCGTGACAACCCAAATCACATAGGGAAGCCACTTGCAGATGCCTTAGCCAGTGTCCCAGAAGAGCTCACAGCCCAAGCCAACATCAACAGCCGGACGTGGGAGTACACCTTCATGGAGATCAGCCCAGCGAGCCTTCAGACACTTCCAGTAAGTCCAGTCTCACCTGCTGACCACAGGTCCTAAGTGAAAGCTGCCCATTGGAGCCCAAGCAGCCCACAGAATTATGATACATATTAATAAATTATGGTCTTAAAAGTCCACGTTTTATCATTTTTTAAAGCAAGAACAACTGAAACCATTTGGTACTGTGTATGAAGTATTTTCATAACAAATCCTATAGCATGACATGGGCTCTGGGACCCAATGATGGACACAAGATTCAAGAGTTTCAAGATGTTTAAAGAAAGGTACAAGAATCTTAAGAGGACCATCAAAAGAAATGAAAGAAATTATTCCCCAGGCTGGAGAAAGGAGACCCCTGTCCTATAACGCTACTACCTATCAGCAGTAATGTCGAAAACAGAAAATATGTCTAATGCTCTGATGGATTTGGCTAAGGATATTTTTAGTCAGAATGTTTAATGTGCCAACTATTTTTTAATCATGTACGAAAAGGATAGGTAGTTGAGCTATTTAAAAAATCTGTTCAGTTTTCAAGATGAATTTCAAAAATTAAATTGAATGCAATACTTACTGAGATAGAAAATTAAACTGTTTCCCATCCCGAGTTGCTCCAGATGGCAATAGACTTAAAAAAATATTAAGTGGCTTCAGCACAAATACTAAATCCGGAACATATCGGTAAAGCCTGGCTTCAGGGTAATGACTTTCATAGTGTGGCTCATGGCACTTTGGTGAGCCCTCAGAATGTTTTATGTGTGTGCCTAGTAGGGTCTCTAATAATCTTAAGGTCATTTCCCTTAGATCTTCTCTCTCAGACAATAGGTATGTAAGAATCTTAATAGCATGCCTCAAAGACCCTCCAGCCAAGCCAAAAGGCTGCTGAGACTCCTAAGAGTGCTGTCCCATAGGCACCCTGACTCTTGGCCCAAAAAGCCTGTGTTGGAAAAATGTAAGTATGGCTTTTGTCCAGTGAAATATAATTTGATCCACAAGGACTCTACAAACTTTGTAAAGAATTATAACAGCTTGGACTGAAGGAATTGGGGCTAACACAAAAATAAAAAGGGCCTTTGGAGACCCCTCCCCAAATGACAGTGGGTAGAAAGAAGGTAGAGGAAACATTCAGATGTGAACAGTCTATATTTTATGGTAAAGAGAAAGATGACTTGAAGGAAGAAACAAGGAACCAGGGCCCAAAGCAGAAAACCATGGAGAATCATTCCCAGGAAAGAGAACAACTCAAAAAATTGGCAACATGAACCCGGCTGGATTTCATAACTGCTATGGACCAGTGCCTGCCATGTGCCTCTCCCATTTTGCTTGCTTTCGAATGGGAATGTCACTTGTGGTTTTTCTATGCCTGCCCAACATTGTACGTCTAGTGTGTCTGTGTAGATAACTCGTCTCTGGCTCTCAGGTCTTCAAATAGAGAAAGCCTACACCCAAGAAGCCTCAGCCACACCTGGGCCTGACTTACATGATAAAACCCTGGACATTGAAGGTGAACTTAAAGCTATTGTGGTATGAGTGAGACTTTGTTGGGGAAGGGGGTTAGGTAACATGCAGTGTAAATTTTCCATGTAGGAAATATGTAAAAAGTTGTAGTAAGAGAATGGATGGTGGTAGATTAAAGAGGGTCACATTTTTAAAATATTCTTCCTGTCTCCTTTCTTGAATCAGGGCGGGCTTCTTGACTACTGTGAGACACAGGATGTAGCAGAGATGATGTGGGGCCACTTTTCAGACCCAGGACTTCAGAGACTCGCCGCCCTGCATCCTGTCTCTTGGGACAACTGTGTTAGAAATGAGTCACCATACATGAGGGCCCAAGCCACATGGACAGGTCAAATTAAACTCATGTGTAAACACTTCAGCTGACAGCCCCAGCTGAGCCTAAGCAGAGTGCCCAGGGGCAAGCAGCCACCCCGGTGGGGGCCCTCATGCGGCCAAGCCTCTAGATGCTTCTATTCCCAATTGCTCCTTGATTGTGACTGCATGTAGAACATGAAGCAAGAAAACCTCACGGCTGGGCCCAGCCAACTCCCAGAACCACATGCATCCCCCCCCCACAACCCAAACTTCTCTAGCTGAAACACCTCACCCTCTTTCCATAAAACACCATTCACGGGAAGGATTCTGATGGTTGTTCTTGCCCCTTTGCCCATGAGCAAGGAAGGCCAGGGCCCTTCTATTCCAGATCGGTCTTCTCCCAGTGACAGCTACGAGCTCTAGTAATGTATAGTTAAACTCACTAAACCACAGAAGCAGCAGCATCTAATTCCACTTTGGTAGAAAATAGGGTTTTTCCACTACTGTCAAAACTCTGGTTTCAAGGAAACATGAATGGGTCCTTGGTATGAGGAGCTCCAACTTCTGCCCTATGCAGCCTGCAGCCTGAGCAAAGCCAGTCAGGCTGGCAGCTCCATGTGACCTGTGGCAGTAGTGCCAGCTGCTGTGCAGGGTATAGATCCTGGGTCTCTCTCTGATGTGCACCGGGAGTGGTCTGCCAGTTCCTGTCGCCATGTTATTATCACAAGCCCTCATGCACTATGACAAATGTGATTTCTCCCTGGCTACCACATAGGATGTACAGGCCATGACTATTTTTAGGCAGAGGTTCTAGTCCCTGGTTTTATTCCCTCAGCCACCTTCTATTTTAATGCTCCATTTGTCTCTGAGAAGCAAATCATGCCCATTGAATTCCCATGAGGTTTTTGTAGAAAGGCAAACATACTCCCACTCCTGAATTAATGAACCACTCCTGCTGTCAGCTGTACTTTAATGTATTTCACCACCCTGTGCATTTGCACACCCAGAACAGAAAGTTGCACAAAGGTAACTTAATTCAGGAGTGACCTTTGAGTTGGTCGCCTGGCAGTGTTATAAATCTTGTGAGGTGGCAGGTTTATTCTTTTATCCATGATTTCCATTGGCAGCTTCACCTTATGTGTGGCAATGACTTAAAATGGTTGCAAAAATGTTACCTCTGTTTAAAATCACTGATAGTCATTGCATTTTATCATCCCTAGTTATAACTTATCCCTGTTCATTCTCCAAATTTAACATTTTACTAGACTATCTTTCAAAAGGATTGTGTCCCCATGGTACATAATATTTCAAGCAACTGGAACTAAAAATAATGTCTATTCTGTTCTCTTCTTTGCAGCATCTTTTCTGTTACTGTCTAAGGCTCAAAAATCACCAAATGTGGGGCTTTTCTTTTCTTTTTAATTTTTCTTCCTGTTATGTTAAGTCATCTTATGATCAATTCTAATCCTCATCTCTAAAATTAAATGCAAATGTGCCAGGTGAATTTGAGATGAAAAACAATCTTCAAAGTGGAGTTCATTGATTAAGAATAGAGTTTCATGGGTCAAATATAAACTAATATGAAACAGTGAATTCCCAATCTTTGCCCACTCCTTTTACTCCTCAGATGTTATTTATCATTTATTCTTTGTCGAACAACAGGTAAACAGAGGCTCACATAAGTAAGAGAGGAATTTCCCCGGTCTAAAAGGTGTTCCCAGTTAGTAGGAGAGAAAAATCAGGTTTAGAAAGAATTACAGTATTTTATTCTATCAGCTATGAGAAAATGTTTAATGTGTTTTGGGAGCAAAGAGGAGAGTCAAGCAGAAGGTGCAGGAAATTATGCTGTATCTCCAGCATCCGTCCTTCTCTTTCTGGAGACAGCAACCTTTGTTGCTTGGACACCTGTTCCACCCTCCCCCAGCCCTCCCTCTGCCCCCGGCCCTCCAGGGGTGAGCATGGCACCCAACCATGGCCATCTTCCTGGCTCAGCGACAGGTCCAGGGTGAGTACATGACCCAGTGTGGACAGATCAGAAACATAGCTGAAGATTTCCTCCACAGCTGGTCAGAGAAAAGCTCTAATGTTCACGAATGAATGCACAT